AAACCCTAAACCCCCGAAACCTAAACCCTAAACCCCAAACCCAAACCCCCAAACCCTAAACCCTAAACCCCAAACACCCGAAACCTAAGCCCCTAAACCCCCAAACCTTAAACCCCTAAAAACCCAAACCCTAAACCCCAAAACCCAAACCTGAACCCCCGAACCCCAAACCCCTTAAACACTAAAACCCTAACCCCCAAAACCCTAAACCCTAAACCCCAAACCCCAAACCCTAAACCCTAAACCCCAAACCCGAAACCCTGAACCCCAAACACCCAAACCCTAAACCCCTAAACCCCCCAAACCCCAAACCCCAAACCCAAACCCAAAACCCTAAACCCTGAACCCTCATAGTAGCCCTTCTAGAGCCCTTTAAGGAACCATTTGACCCTAAACCCTAAACCCCAAATCCCAAACACTAAACCCTAAACCCCAAACCCTAACCCTCATAGTAGCCCTTATAGAGCCCTTTAAGGAATCCTTTAAAGGAACCCTAAACTCTACGCCTCTTTACAGCAAAAACCCTCCGAGCGCCTTGGCGGCCTCGAGGCCGAGAAGGCCTCCGCCGATGACGGCGGCGCGGCGCCGGCCTTGTGACCTGGGGCAAAAAGGTTCCTTTAAGGAGCTCCCTTAAAAGGGTTTAGGGCCTTAAAGGGGCGCCCTTAAATGGTTTAGGGTTTAGGGTTTAGCTTTGGCTTCAGGGTTCAGGGCTTACGGTTTAGGGCCTAATTATTGGGGCAGAAGGGTTCCTTAAAGGAGCTCCCTAAACGGGTTGAGGCTTTGGGGTTTGGGGTTTAGGGTTTAGGGTTTGGGGTTTGGGGTTCAGGGTTTAGGGTTTAGGGTTAGGGAACCGTTCAAGGCAGCCTTTCAGGACCCTAAAACCCTGAACGAAACCATGCCATGAAGGTTCCTTCAAGAGCTCCCCGCCCCCCTTACTAGAGTATAGTGGGCCCCCAAAACCCCATTCTATGTATCAAGGCCCATATCCTAAACCCTTATAGTAGCCCTGATAGAAACCCTGGTAGACCCCTTTAAGAACCCTACTCTCAGTATCGGAACCTCTGAAGGAACCCCTCAAGGTTCCTTTGCGGGCTACCTTCAAGGAAGCCCTGAAGTGAAACTGCAGGAATCGTTTAAGGGATTAGGGGTTAGGGTAGGAAAACCTTAACGGAACCGGTGCCTTTTTTTATGTAGACTTCTGTTTCGGGATCTATAAAGGGATCTGAGAGGTGTCCGTTTTGGGATCCGGGCTTTGAGATTCCTCTAAATAGCTCCTTTACCTGTCATCTACACGGAGCTAGGGCTTACGGCGTTTGCCGCAGCTTGAAGACCTTGTTAGGGCCTTGCTACCTGGTCGGAGAGGACGCATCGGGAGAAGTTTCTGGGGGTCTGGAGTTTATAGGCTTTACGGATGTAGGAGGTTGAGGAATTTATAAGGGTTTCGCGGTCGATGGTCATGGTTTAATTAGGGTTCAGAGTTCCTCACGGTTTAGGGTTTACCAACTCGAAAAATCATGATTCTCGAACTGAACCCCACTTTGTTCACATTCCGACACCCTCAGCCTCAACCTGGAACTCGAAACCCGCACCGGCCTGGCAATGATTGCATCCATGTCCTCAATAGTCCTGTGCCACACTTGGGTTTAGATCTTTGCCAGTGCCATAGCGCTGAGATTTAAGGTTCAGGACCCTAAAGCCTAAACCCTTAAACCCTTAAACCCTAAACCCTAAACCCTTAGACCCTAGACCCTAAACCCTAAACTTTTGGGTTTCATGGTCAAAGCCTGACCTTCCTAAAGTCATCGTAATCCGGATCCTACTGTATCGAGTATAGGGCTCCAAGAGAGGCTCTCCCAAAAGAGGGAATTCACTTTTGGATCTTTTTTTTTACGAGGTACGGTTTAGGGCTTAGGGTTCAGGGGTTTAGGGTTTAGGGGTTTAGGGTTTAGGGTCACTTGGGCATCTTTTTTTACGAGGTAGCTGAGGGTTTACACGGTATGGCACTAAGTGGGACTTCTGATGCAAGAAATAGCAGCACCGTTGCTTTCTTGTCGTCAATGTGTCCTAGTATCTGTCTTCTGCCTTCGGTCTTGGAAGCTTTGCATAGTCCTGGGGACGAGAGTCGAGACCCGAAGGGTGGATTTAGGATGATTGGCGCTGGGATTCCGGTAAAATCCTACCTAGACCCCCCCAACTACGCTCTACTACGCCCAAAAATACCCTTGAGGGGGTCCTGGTGAACCTCCTTCAGGTTAGACTCCTAAACCTGAGCCCCTAGACCGTCCTAGACCTCCATCCTCTTCATCCGAAGCACCGAAACCGAGACGTCTAACCCACTAAACCCTAAACCCTAAGCCTTGGGAGATTGGTTTCGGGGGACCCTTCGGGATATAGACCCTCTCAATAAGGTCCCGTTTAAGAGAGCCACAAGTAGGGTTCAGAAGGGTCCCCTTTGAGGGGTCTCCCTTATACTACCTAGGAAGCCTGGACTCCTCAACTCCAATCTTCAAGCCTGCCGCACAGTATCCGGAGCACGCAATCAAAAAGCGCTACCTTAACTTAGGGTTTAGGGTTTTAAGGTTGAAGAATCTTAACCACAAGTCATGGGATGGGTTCCTTTAGGGGATCCTCGACGGAATCCTTTTAGGAATCGTGTGGCTTAGGGCTCGTTTATAGTGCTAGGCTACACTTTAAACAAGTGCTGTGGATCCTTGCAAGGGCCAGAGATCTGTATACCATAAAAGACACCAATGACATCTGATGGGGGTCGAATTCCCTAACCCCTCTACCCTGAACCTTATTTTCAGATTTCACAGCCGGCAGTCCTGTACGTGAAGACGCCCGGCGTTGAAGTCTTCAAGCCAGGCACAGGGGGGACGAAGGGGGAGCTCCCTGTGGCTAAAACCAACCTGAGCGGCTCGCTGCGGGTAGGGAAGAAGGTGTAGGGTGTACCTTAACCTACAAATCGTACCCTTTTCGTAGGGTCCCCATAGAAAACTCTATAGGATTTATAATCGCAGCCTACAGCGGAGGGGCTTTCTGGAACCGACAAGGTTCGGTACTTACATTTTGCGGGGCTTCGGTTGCGAGGGGCTTAGCGATGCGAACCCCAGACTTCAGGTGAGCTACTGTGGATGTCAAGCCCGTACTAAACCCTAAACCCTAAACCCTAAACCCTAAACCCTAAACCCTAAACCCTACCCCTAAACCCTAAACCCCTAAGCCCTAAATCCCTAAACCCCAATCCCAAAACTCCTAAACCCTAAGCCCTACCCTAAACCCCTAAACCCTAAGCCCTGAACGCTGAACCCCCAGACCCTAAGCCCTAAACCCTAAACGCCCTTAATGCAGCTGATCATCCGTGGAGCCTTCTTCGTCGGACCCGAAATCTCTCGCATTTCTTACAAAAGGACCCCAGGCGTGGTAGGAATCTATGGGCGCAGGGTTTAGGGTTTAGAGAGCCCGAATAAATGTAGGGGCTTTAATAGTTTTAATAGGGTTTTGGTGCATGCTGTACTCTGAGTATAATGAGGAACTGCGAAAATAGTATTGGTAATTATTGAGGCCTCTATACTAGGTCGAACTATTGAATCTGGGTCTTGCGGTTGAGGTTTCGCGACGCTGATTTACCGAGACTGGGTGCGGTGTATAGGAATGTGAAGCTATTGGAAGACCCTACGTCCTCACTACGTAGGCTCGCAGACCCTACGAGCCCTAAACCCTGAACCCTAAACCCACATAAATCTCGAAACCCGGTAAAACACAAACCAAGGCACTCATCGTACTCCAGCTCCCCGGAGGCGGAGGCACCCACATAGGCCAACCCTCAGCACGTACATGAACAAAACACAAGCCCTAACAGACACGACCCCTGCAAAACTATAGCAGCCGACCTGCCAGTGGGCTTTTTTGGTACATAGTACAGGCTGCTCTTGATTCGAAACCTAGCGGCTGACTCCAGAACTGGGATCCTAAACTTCCACTATCGCGAAACCTTAAAGAATAAATTCCGATTCCTACACCCTACCCTACATTCATCCTGGACCCGTTGAGGGCAACGAAAACAGGTGTTCCAGGCTCCGGGTCTCGGCATACAAAAACCCAAACCCTAAACCCTAAACCCTAAACCCTAAACCAAACCCTAAACTTTAGGGTTTAGGGTTTAGGGTCCCTAAACCCTCAACCCAGCATCGTTGGGCAGTCACCGGGCTTGGCTTTACTCTGTTTCCCTTAGCCAGTTGGCACTGTTTGGAAAACTCCATAAGAGAAACCATAACCCAACACAAACCCTAAACCCTAAACCCTAAACCCTAAACCCCTCAACCCCAAACCCGTAAACCATAAACCCGTAAACCCTAAACCCTGCTAAAACAGTCCCAAAGATCCTTTTACGTAAGGTTAGTTTTAGAGTTCTATAATAACCTTAACCATTCAACAAACGTTGAGAAGGGGCTTGGTCTTGGTATACGAGTACTATACAGGAGGTCGCCGGAATGAAGAACTCGATCTAGAGTTTGAATTAATGGGGTCGGGGTTAATTACTAGAGCTAAGCTACGTAGTCACTAGGCAGAGGAGACACGCTTCCGAAGACGGTCGATGTGTGTGGCGCGCGCCAAGATCACCGACACGTTCCTTAAGCACAGTGGTTGCTGCTTAGGAGTTTCGGCTTTAGGGTTTGATGGTTTCGGGTTTGGGGTCTGGCGGTTTTGTTTAGAGGTCAAGGGCAAGGGGTTGTGTTGAGGTTATACATACTCGTGTAAAGAACGACAGCTTTATCCGGGTCCAGTCAGAAGGGTCCTCGAACCAGCTACAGTAGAAGCCCAAAAGTTGGAAATGCAATAGCCTCAATCCTCATGAGCAATGTATAGGGAATCCCAGCACTAATTGTCCTCAATCCGGTTTCCAATTTTGTGGGGTTACTATAAAGTCTAGCAGAAGGTAGCTCGGGGGGGGGGGGTCCAGTCAAGTCAAGGTTTCAGTTTGCAAGCTTAGCACGTGGGACGAGGTGTCTGGTTGTACTAAATCTGCACTCCGCTGAACGGGATGGCAGGTTCGGGATTTGTCCGAGGTTTATATGTTATATACTCTACAAAACTCAAAACCTTAAAAGTATCGTCTTTGCAGCAACAGCAGTAGCTGAGCACGAACCCGAAACCCCAAGCCTCTAGACTAAACCCTAAACCCTAAACCCTGAACCCTAAACCCTAAACCCTAGACGCATAAGGTCTACGTGATTCTGTGAGGCTCTTCTCCCGCAGCCACTCCGGGCTGCACATGGACAGCTCGTCCGCGGAGCGATGCTGGAAGTAGCTCCTCATGACCCAAAGGCTCCATGTACCCATATAGTAGATACTTAAGCCTTAAAGGGGTCCCTATATAGGTACTTTACGGCCTAAGTATCTACTATATGGGTACATGGAGCCTTAGGGTGAGAAGCGACGAAGTTTAATGCTTCAACATTTGACGACAGAAATCAGTATGCTCGAAATCCTTCCTTGTAGTGTCAGCTACTTTGTTTAGGCTTGGTTGCTGTTTCAAGGAGGTTATTGACCCTCAGTCTGTCTCGTCATCTGATTGGCGGTTAGCATTGCCGGTGCCGATGGTGATACCGAGCTGTGTCCTCGAAGCTTGGAGCTGTCACGAGTCAAGAATGCAAGTGTTGGGCCAAATGACATACAACCCACAGGACATGCGGAGAGTCCATGCGGTACTTAATGACCCTAGTGCAATCAATATGATAATCATCGACACCTTCATCATAACAATGTAAGCAGTTGGCAGATGCCTGTGACTTCGGCAGTAAAGCCCAGATTTGTAACCTACTGGCTAAGAAGCTCAGATACAGTTGCCCCGGTACTGAGCGCTTTCACCCAAAGGGTCCAACTACCTAACAATCATATACTCTTCCGGATACTAACCTACAGAACTACTATCCGTAATCCAAGTACATGATTGTTAGGTCCTTTGGACCCTTAGGGTAAGGCTTGCCCCTTTAGGCTACTAGTTAGGACTAGGGGGACCCTTGATTATTAGGTCCTTTGGACCCTTAGGGGTCATAAGTCCAAGCCAGGCACGTCATGGCCACGCGGTTGTAAGCCAATCGTGGCTCCTCGCCTTCTAGGTTAGCCAAGGAGTCTTGAACTTTCTGCTTGAGGGTTTAGGGTTTATAAGTCCAAGGTTATGCAGTTTAGAGTTGAGGGTTTAGGGGTTTAGGGTGAACTAGGGGTTTACGGTTTAGGGTTCAAGGTTATGGAGTGTAGGGCTTTGGGTTTCGCAGTTTTGGGGGTTTGAGGGTCTTGGGGTTCAAGGTGTAGGGCTTAGGGTTTGTTGGGTCTCACGCGCTATGGCTTCCGGTTTGTAGCAGTGATTGCAAGACAGGACTCTGGCACAATAGTAACGGCATGTGGAATCTGCACTGAAGTAGGGACCTGATCAACCCCTCGTGTTGAGTTCGTCTTTCTGATCGTAGCTTCGTTTGTGTTTGGAATATCTTCCTCTTAATATGACTATTACTAGTATTACTGCTGCTCATATTATATGCGTTATTACTACCACCATTCACAGTACTATGATTACTATAAGCAAAAATTGATAGTATTATCTTTATTATCATTATTCTTGGTATGAGTGTTCTTATGGCTACTAGTGGAACTAGTGCTTTTGCTAATGTTAATTTTCGTTCTGATCTTCATGAGTCACTACCGTTGCTTATGCGGCGGCAAATATACAGTACATATAATTGAGGAAATGCATAGCCCAGTGTACTCTGGGAAGTTATGTAACATGACAAAAACGTGTCACCATGCGAGCGTTCGCTATGAGCGACTGCTATAATCTGCAGCAGGTGTCGCATCAAATACATACCGGGCAGTATATCAGTATTCAATCTCCCAGCGGCTATGGCAGCAAACATGGCATTATTCGAACAAACACCGAACATGTCTAGCCTGGCAGCAGAGCCAGCAGAGCACAATTATCAATAGCCCACATAGTCCCTGCATGACTGAGGCCCTATATGAAAACCCCTAGAAACCAAGTCTTGTCACAAGCTTCCTCGAGGATTTTGCGGTGCCCAATCTCAAAAAAATCTGACAACTAGCCTGCGAAACAACCCCCCTAAACCCCTAAACCCTAAATCCTAAACCCATAAACCCTAAGTCCTAAATTCCTGAAC